CACTGATCACCATTATCATAATTGCATCAACACACAAACGGAATTTTAATCTTGACCATTTCTAAATCAACACTAACAATAACAACAACAACATTTAACAAACAAACAAAAAAAGTTGCAGGAAATTTACACAATAAAAGAAACGAGAAAATTAAAAACAATACATCTGGAACATCAACAAACCAACGAAAGCAGATGCAAAAACACTGACAACACATATTATGCTAAAACAACACAATACTTTGTTTGTCATGACCTTCCCATGCTTAACAACCTGCCTACGTATCACTATAACTGTTTTCTAATCGTACTCTTACATATGCATAGTGACCTTTTGTAATAAACACTTAATTTGTATTATCTATACCACTATCTATATCTATATCTATCTGCCGTTTCTGTTTATACCCCGTTCTATATCAATTTCTCTCTATATTCTGCGCCCATGCTGGTTTCCATTCTAACTATAGTGCTGCTATGACGTCATAAGATTTAGAAAATTCTATTGAAAAAAATCTTATGCTCTACACTCAAGGCACCTAATCCTAAACACTAAAAAAAGTATATCTGGGTAGACTGTACCAACCGTTGCCTACTACATCGAGGGGCCCAAGCCTATGTACCCGCTTAGACGTGACCAAAACCCAGGGTCATCGTACCTTTATCCTTTCCCGCCCAATCCTCTGTGTCCCCGTACCCTAATACCCAGCCATTCACGCTCCACATGCTGCCCCTCCCCAAAGCAGAAAATGAAAGTGAAATTAAAAAATCGATTCGAACAGTATTCGTTCTACGGAAAAAGACCAAAGAGACGCAACATTCCCAGACATGCACGTCTCCAAGCCCATACAAGCAGCATTGCCTTCCACGGCAGAATAGCACGCAAGCACATGGCATCCAACAGTTGCCTACACACACTTGGCCACAGCAAGGCACACCGCAGCCAGCAAACCTCAGGTCTTACTGTACGAACGTCCCAGGCTGCTACAAAAAAACAAAACAAAAACAAAAAAGGAAATCTGTCTACACCTCACAGCCATAGTCACATGCGGGGAAGAATTTGTCCACAGATGATACCGACAATTTATCCATGAAAGAAACACCTACTTTCAAAGAAGGAATTTTGAGGATATTGCCTTTCAAGATTATAAATTCTTATAGACGAGTGTTTGTTTGGGACATTTCGTTGGGTAATTCTCCTTGCCAATGAGGAATAAAGTGTTTGGAATTTTCCAGAAAAAAGTGTTATCCAAAAACAATGGAATGTTTACGGACGCACTTTTATCAAAATCTACAGTAGAAAAAATAGTGTAGGAACAAAACATTAGAGAATTATTAGAAAGGGTCTTTGTGTTAAAAGTACAAATATCAAGCCCTGTACAGAAAAGCAGAGGGGGTTACCAACGAGTCAAAAACGGTGTGGCTAAGGCTCTAATCAACCAGTGATATACGCGGGGTCAAAAAAAAAAAAGAAAAAAATCTTCTTGAGGGTAGAATAATCTACTTCAACTTTCTACGACCAACGGGGAGGGGGGTTAATAGTGGGGAGGGGGGGGGTGCAACTCTACTCATTCAAAAGGGATTTCGAAAGATGCAAAATCAGGGATCTCGGAAATCATTAAAGTATTGATAGTTGCTAGGGAAACAGAGACATAATTACTTACTTAATCAAAGTGGGAGAAAGAGAGAGAGGAAAAAAACAACGAAAAACATAGGGAAGGAAACAAATCTAAACACTTTTTCTAAACACATTATTTGTTCTGATTTTTTTTTGGTTACTAACACTGACTGGCTATAGCGTGACGATCTAGAACAGACAAGCATTAATGCCTTTAGCATAATAGTTTGATATTATTTTACCTGATTTGCCTCCTGTGAGTTTTGTGAAGAAAAGGGGAAAAATATATTTTCATCATTGCACTGTTTCCCTAAATTCTCATTGTGAAAAAAGTTAATGGTTCTAGAAACGTAATTACAAAAAAATGAGAAAGACAGAGAGAAAGAGAAAGATTGTTAATAAAGGGAAAAAACTCAAATATGTCGGACTGTCCTGGAAATCCAAAACTTTTCTAATTTGAACTAACCAAAAAATATATATATATATAATATCTGCAAGCGAGAGTCACTATAAGAAGATTAACCATCACATGACTTTGAAAAAAAAAGGAAACCAACTGATATATGTATATATATTGTTAAGCAAATTTCGAAAACAAATTTAATTCAAACCTGGACATTTAGATATCTATAGGGATAAACAGGAAGCTTTATATAGAAGCGGATGCCTGGTCCATTCATTCATAAAAAAAGAATGAAAAAATAAATATATCATGAAGAAAATATATAAAAAAAATGCAGAGATTAATCATAAAATACATATTATTCTCTCGAAATCCCACTTGTAACTGCGATAATACACAGACAACCCTAAGTGAGAATGATACGAAAACAACTTATAACTTATCACTTATAATCTAATGACCGAAGCACACATTAGGGTGAAATTGGTGATTAGTGATATCCCTTAAACTAGAGTGAAGGGTGAAAGAGGGTGATATTTTTTTTTTTTTTTTTTTTTTTTTTTGATCAAAGTGTTTGCAAGACTGAAGAAAAAAAATCATTGAATGGAAGCAATCAATTGTTGTAATTATCATTATTTATCATTATTATTATTGTTATTATCATTATTGTATTAATGTTATTATCATTATTGAATCATTATTGTTATTATCATTATTGTAAATCATTATTGTTATTATCATTATTGTAATTATGTATTATCATTTATTGTTAATTATATCATTATTATCATTGTTGTAATTATTATTATTATCATTATTGATCATCTTTATTACACGGTATTATCATTATCTTTACGAATATCAATTATTCATTTTATTTATCATTATTATTATTGTATCATTATTATACCATTACTACTATTGTCTATTATATATTATTACTATCATTATCATTATCCTATTATTATCACCATAACGAATATGATAATAATAATGATATTGATAATAATAACGATGATGATAACAATAATGTTAATGATAATAATAATAATATTAACAATGATGATAATAATAATAATTATTATCATTATCACTACTGTTATTACTATCGCAATCATCATGATCGTTATCATTACCATTACCATTATCATTAACATTATTATTGTTAATGTTATTACTACTATTGTTTTTATTACTATTATTATTATTATCATTATTACTATTATTATTATTATTATTATTATTATTATTACTATTATTATTATTATTATTTCTTATTATTATTACTTATATTATTTTATAATTATTATTATTATTTATTATTTATTATTATTTATCATTATCCTATATAATAATATTATTACTGTTATTATCATTATTAATATTCTATTATTAATATTCCATTATTATGATTATCAGTATTATCATTAGCATCATTATCATTATTCATTATTTATTATATAATGTTATATTATTAATAGTGGCATTATCATATCATTAATCATTATTATCATAATATTAGCATTTAATGTTAAAATAATAATAATAATAATAATAATAATAATAATAATAATAATAATAATAATAATAATGATAATGATAATGATAATATTAATAACAACAGAATGATAACAATAATGAAAATAATAATAATAATATTGATCATGATAATAATAGCATAATATTCTTTTTATCATGCTATTATAATGCTAATGATAACAATCATAGTACTAATAGCAATGGTAATGATGATGATATTATTGAAAATGATAATCATGTTGATAATATAAATAATAATAACAATAATGATGATCATGAAAAAAGTAAACAGTGAGAAGTACAGTAATTTTTATCATTATCATTATTCTTGTTGTTTTTATTATTGATATAAATTCATTGTTATCATCATTATCGTTTCCATCCTCCTCCTCCTCCTCCTCACTTTTATCATTTGTCAACATTATCATCATTATCCATAATATCTCATTATCATCATTATCAATATTCTATATTTACATTTCCTTCCGAATCATACAATGAAATCTAATTTCATCATTTAACACATTACGATTTTTTAAAAATATGTTCACGCAAATTAGCTTAAAGTGACTGAGCGTGATAGTGTTAAGCGAAACAAGTGAAACGTTATACTAAATACAAATTCCGTTATATCAAGACTTAAATTTAGGTAATGATAGATCTTAAAAGAGGAATATGAGGGAGGGAATGAAGGAGAGAATGAGAGGGAGAGAGAGAGAGAGAGGTAGGAAATTCTGGTGGAGTGAAAGGGTTACTTCTAATTTGGTACTTAAAAAAGAAGTATAAAAAATATACATTTAATACCAATGACTACAATAAGAAAAAAAAAGTGAGCACGTATATTTAATCGCTTCATGGAGATGTAAATACCCTTTATCTATCTATAGAATTATTATCTAACATACAACAAATCAACATTTAATAAAGTACCAACAATAATCCGCAAATCAGTTATCCTACAACGCAAACAAGAAATCAAAATAAGTGAAATTGATTACTTTGGATAATTTTCACGGCAAGGAAAACCAAAAAATCTGAAAAAGAAGTCGACAATGGAAATACCATTTGTAAATAACAAATATCAAACTGCAAATAGTTGATTCATTAATTACATAGGATAATACTCGACTCCCCCCCCAAAAAAAAAAAAAAAAAAATACAAATTAACATAATGGTTAACTCTACTGACAAACATAAAACCCCATATGACCGATAAATAAATAACATAATAAATACTTCGCCTCCACCTGTAAATTTCAAAACATCTCCACTAACTGAACCAAATCCAACCCAAGCCTCCAAAAACAGCTGATCACCCCACGCAAAACAGCTGATCACCCGACCCAAAACAGCTGATCGCCCGACCTAAAACAGCTGACTGTCCCAACAACCCCGAGAGCTCTCCCCGTCAGGACCGAACTTGCCGACGGCGCAACTTACGAGGGCGGCGACGGCAGAGGCACCTGGTGGATCTTCCAGGTGGCAACGGACATGGAGTGCTCGTCGGCCGCATAGCATCGCCATAGACACTGGATGAGCGTAGCGGCGGGCTGGCGTCGGCGGATCATGTGCTTCTGCCGCTGCTGCTGCTGCACCTTGAGGGCGAACCCCGAGCCGAGGATACCCTGTGGGGGAGAAAGGGAGAGGGGGAGGTCTCGGTGGGTGGGGTCTGTGGGTTGCTTTTTATGCTCTAGCGTTTTTTTTTTCTCTTTCTTTCTCTTCTTTGTTACTCTCTTTTCATTTCTCATTTCTCTCTCTCTCTCCCTCTCTCCACCCCCCCACAACCCACACACACAGACACAAGCACTCCTATGAACACTCACATCCACACCCACAACACCCACCCACACACACCCAACCCACCCCCCACCCACACCCACACTCACATCCACACCCACACACACACACACACCCACAATCACTCCAACGAACACCCTCCTTCCTTTCCTTCCTTCCTTCCTTTCTTCCTTCCTTTCTTTCCTTCCTTTTCTTCCTTCCTTCCACCAGCCAGGCGCAGCAGGACTCACCGCCGGCAGCGCGAAGAAGGAGATCCCCAAGAGAGCGCATCCGGAGGCGATCATCTTCCCGCCGTAGGTCATGGGCACGGCGTCTCCGTAGCCCACCGTGCATAGCGTGATCTGGAGGAGGAGGCGGTGGAAGAGGGGGAGGGGATGGTGGAGGAGGAAGTGGAGGTGATAGAAGAGGGGGAAGGGGGATGGTGGAGGAATGGAGGTGGAAGAGGGGAGGGGGATGGTGGTGTGGTAGAAGAGGGGGAGGGGGATGGTGGAGGAGGTGAGAAGAGGGGGAGGAGGAGGGGAAGGGTGGGGAGGGGGGGGGAGGTGGTGGTGGTAGAGGGGGAGGGAGGGGGAGGAGGTGGTAGGGAGGAGGGGGGGGGAGGAGGTGGTGGTGGTAGAAGAGGAGGGTGGAGGAGGTGGTAGTGGTGGAAGGAGGGGAGGGGGAGGGGGGAGGGGGAGGAAGGGGGGGAAGGGGTAGAAGGGGAGGGGAGGTGGTAGAAGAGGGGAAGGTGGGGGAGGGGAGGGACGGGGAAGGGGGGCAGGGAGAAGGGAGGAGGAGGTGGAGGTTGAAGAGGAGGAGGAGGAGAGGTGGGGGTGGAGGAAAGAATAGAATGGTTAGGGAGGAGGGAGGGAAGGGGGGAGAGGGGGAAGAGGAGGTAGAGGGGGTGGAGGAAGAGGTGGATGTGGAAAAGCAGGAAAAAGGGGAGGAAGAGGTAAAAGAGGTGGAAGTGGATGTAGAAGTGGAGGTGGTGGAGGAGAAAGAGGTAGGAGGAGGAGAAGGAGAAGAGGTGGAAGAAGGAGCAGGAAGAGGTGGTGGCGGAGGAGGAGGAGAGGAGGAGGAGGAGGAGGAGGAGGAGGAAGGAGGAGGAGGAGCAGGAGGAGGAGGAGGAGGAGGAGGAGGAGGAGGAGAGGAGGAAGAGCAGGAGGAGGAGCAGCAGCAGCAGCAGCAGCAACAGCAGGAAGAGGTGGAGGAGTAGGAGGAGGAAACGGGGTGGTATGGTGGAGTGGAAGTGGTGGAGTGGAAGTGGTGGTGGTGGAGGTGTAGATGGAGGAGAAGGAAGAGGAAAGTAGATAAACGAAAGAAAAAAGACCGTTAGAGAAAATATATTCATATATGCATATATCATACAATATACAGAACCCCCCACAAATAATACCTCAAAGAAAAAACACAAAAAAGTCAAACCTGGGAAACCTAATGCTAAAAAAGAAGGAAACTTTAGAAAAGAAAAAAAGGCAGTACCATGCTGAAAAAAAACATAAAATAAACAAATAAAATAAAAAACACCTTATACATGACAAAAAAACAAAACAATAACACCAATCAAAAACACCATATACAAACAAAAAATAATACCAAATTACAAAAATAAGGGGGAAAAAAAACAAAACGAAACCCACGAAATTTGAAAACCGAAAAGCCCGCCAAAACAAAAGAGCAACGCCCTCGGACTTACCACCCCCCACCAGAGGGCGTCGGGGAAGGTCTTGAAGTTGTCGTTTATGTCCTTCTCCACCAGGTACACGAGAAACGACGAGAAGATGAGACCCAGAAAGCCTATGTAGACTGTGGTCAGCAGTTCCTGAAGATGAAGCGGGGATTTGGGGGTCAAGGATATTTTCTAATGTTTTTTTTTTTTTTTTGGTTATGATGCGGATATTTTGTTATTGTTGTTGATGCTGCTGTTTTTGTTGTTGTTGTTGTAACGATCATTGTTATATTCATCGCCATATATATGAATAGTGTCATGGTTATTGTCACCATTATTGAGTCTCCTCCAACACAATCGTAATTATAAGCCTTAAATATAATCCTTATCGCACTCATCACCTCCACATATCCATAAGAATCCATTATAATCCAGTCTTACGAACGATAAAGCCAGCAGCAACAACGACAACAAAAACAAAAAACAGAAACGTAACCTCCCGTTCGCGTAAGCATGAATCCGGAATCCGCATTTACCTGTCTGTGCGCGTAAACAACTGAGCCGAGGAGCTTCCACGTGCCTCCCCGCCGGTCCATCCTCACCATGCGAAGGATCTGGAAGAACCGCAGCCCGCGAACCGCTGACACGACCTGGCCGCCCGTGCCGTTGGCCAGCACGACCACCGACGCTACGATGGTCACCATGTCTGGAAAAAAAAGGAAAATGCGGTTGGTTTGGTTGGGAGTTCAGGAAATTAGATTTTGTTACTGTGCTGCACGCGCGTTTAGTTACACACAAACACACATGGATGAATGCATGCACTTATATATGAACACATGCATTTGCAAGTGGGTGTGTGGAGAAAATAGTTCTGTATTACACTGTTCAGTATACCCAACAACGCGCTCGCAATCCTCCTCCTAAGAAAGCTATTGGGGCACTAGATTCCTCTGCAATCAGGATTCTCTCCTTGCACCTTCACAATAAGCCATACTCTTGCATCAGCGCTTTACAACACTTGTCTGTATGGGATAAAGGGTGGAGCTGCCGTCCAGAGTCAAGGCTGGGCAACGCTGGGTAAGAGCAAAATAACCCAACTAGACTCTGCTGATGATATTGCCATCTTATTTGAATCTTAGGAGATCCCAGTGGCGACTCTCAATGCACCAGCAGCAAGCGAAATCAAGCTAGAGGGCTTTTGGACCAAGAGCAAGATCTAGATCTTTGAGGGTGTCTCAAATTAAACAACCGAGTCAGCACTTGTTATGTACTTTATAACTATTTCATCAGCCCAGGAGGTTTACAGATGGACTGGCCTGGCGATGGGGGTCACACTCTCAAAAAGAGTATCTATGTCTACAAGGCCCTGATATTGCAACTGCTGCTGTGTGGTAGTGAAATCTGTACCCTAGTCTTGCTTTAGTCTCTCCACTAGGCACCTTTCGCAATAGGTCCCAACGTCAGATCAGCTGGCAGGATTATGTCTCCCGCCAGTCGAGCTCGACTCCCCAAGGATGACCCAGCCCATCAGGATGTCTCCTACAGAGACAGTGCTGAGCGGGGGCAATAGAACGACCAAGAAAGTCGTGGCGTGACAAAGCGTTCAAAATGTGTGTGAACAACTAGAGGTGATGGCTCGCCAAGAGGGACCCTCGTAGCTGGAAACAAATACCTTTGACTTCTTAGTGAGTGATCCTCACATCATCATCATCATCAATATTATCATCACCGCTATCATTATTGCCCTCAACACTATAAAAATCATTATCACTGTCAGTACCATCATCGAAAGGATGATAAATACCACCATTATCTTTATCATTATTTTTGTTATGATTATTACTGTTATAATCATAACATATCAGAATTCATATTCTTAGCCCTATCGTTCTCGCTGTCATCATCATCATCATCATAATTACCTCATGTATAACAGCACGAAAGATGCATGTATTAATTAAGTGCGAAATATTTTGGGTCCCTTCATTAATAAATTAATATTGCATTATCACACTAAAGCGATATTAAAGTTGAAGTGTTTCAGATATAATGATATGGGTGTTCCCGAAGCCAACAATGCCCTCTCTACTAACCTCTCTCTCTCTCTCTCTCTCTCTCTCTCTCTCTCTCTCTCTCTCTCTCTCTCTCTCTCTCTCTCTCTCTCTCTCTCTCTCTCTCTCTCTCTCCTCACCCTCTCTCTCTCTCTCTCCACCTCTCTCTCTCTCACCCTCTCTCTCTCTCTCCCACCCTCTCTCTCTCTCTCCTCCTCCTCTCTCTCGTCTCTGCGCGTCGTCTCTCATTCTCTTTACCTCTCTGCCTGTCTACTTGTCTCTGTCTGTCTGTGTGCGTCGCTTCATTCCATCTTTACCTCTCTGCCTACTTGTGTCTGTCTTGTCTGTCTGTGCGTCGCTTCATTCCGCCCGCACGAGCCAAATCCCCTGCTCTGTTTAGGCAGCGAGGACAAGCGCACCCTGGGTTCAAGTGACTCGGAGTGAGGTTAGGAAATACAGAGGTTATTACTTTATTGATGTTCGCTCTTATTGTTGATGTTTTGTAATTGAGATTTAATTTTTTTTGTTGTTTTCTATATTTTGTGTGTGTGATGCGTATTTTTTAATGGTTGTAAGTTTTGCGTTTTTTTTTTCTATAAATTATCTATTTTTCTGTTTTTTTTCTCCTGGTTAGTCTGTCTTTCTATGTCTGTCTGTCTGTCTCTATCTCTGTAAGCCTGTCTGTCTGTCTTTCTATCAGTCAGTCTGTTTGTCTCTTTCTCTCTCTGTCTGTCTGTCTGTCTCTCTGCAAGTCTGTCTGTCGGTCTTTCTATTAGTCAGTAGGCACTATGTAGTGTTCCATGAATACCTTTGGTTTTGTATAATATCACTGACGTATGTCTTGGCTGTTATAACGTAGATATAACTTTTTTTTTTTCCTGTCCCTTTCCTCTTTTCTCCTCTCTCCTCTCCTCTTCTCCTTCCCACCCTATCTCTTTCCCTTCTCCATCCTATTCCCTCAGTTTCCCTTTTCCTTTTTTTCCCTTTTTCCACCTCCTTCTCCATCCCAGTACTCTTCTTCCTCCTCCTCCTCTCTTCCTTTCCATCTTTCTCCTCCCTCTTCCACGTCCTTCTCCCCTCCCCCCCCCTTCAACCTCTGACCTATAGTGTATTTTGCATGTTGATTGTCTTGTTATGTCACAGCTAAACTTTTTTTTTTTTTTTTTTTTTTTTTTTTTTAACTTCTCGGGAGTGGTTTCCAGTGAGTGGATTCGCCAAAGGGATCGGGTGTGTGTTGAAAATGGGTTTATGGGGTTAAAAATATCCATTTTCTTTGTGTGTAAGCGTTCTTGTAGTTTTGAAATTGGCCCTTTTATTTATCTTTATTCATGTATTTCTTTACGCTTTACCGATTTCCAATTCTAATCTGGAACTCTAAAAGCGGCATTTTTGCAAATTCCCCCTATTTTTTTCTTTTTTTCGTATATGTCTTTACACTTTCACATTTCCAATTCTATTCTGGAACTTTAAAAGCGGCATTTTTACACATCAACTTTACACATAACTTCATTCTTGCTTGAGACTTTCACAGCAACCGGTGCTGACAGAGGTACTAACTTTTTCTCCATTACTTCCCTCTAATCTTTTGTTTTCTGTTACTTTCTCAGTGTATTCTCTCCTCTCTTCTCTCCGTGAGGGAAGAGAGGGGGGATGGAGAAACGACGGTAAAAGGAGAAGGGAGAGACGAAGAAGCAAGGTGAATGAAGGTGGGTGTATTCGAACTAGCAAAGGTATATTACTGTCTCTGTGGATTTCCTTCATCCTGTCTGTCTCACTCTCTCTCACTCTCTATCTATCTGTCCATCGATCTCTGCCCGTCTCTCTCTCTCTCTATCTATCGATCTCTGCCCGTCTCTCTCTCTCTCTATCTATATCGATCTCTGTCCGTTCTCTCTCTCTCTCTCTCTCTCTCTCTGCCCCCCTCTCCCTTCCTCCCTCCCCCTCTTCTTACCCTTCCCTCCATCCCTCTCTCCCTCCCTCATTCCCCATCCTTCTCTCTAACCAACAACACACTATTATCCACCCAACCAAATATCCTTCCTCCGCCATTGTTTGCGCGACATCCTGCCTTACTGATCGGATTCCCGCGGCTTAAGAGGTCCTTTGGCGTTGATTCGCGAAAGAGCAAGTCACCCGCCTGGCAAGACACCGCAGAAGGAGTCGCTCGCATGTTGACCCGCGCGCGTTCACGGGTGCACTGGCGGAGGGCGGGGCTTATGACTGGTTTTATTGCTGTTATCGTTGTTGTTGTTGTTATTGTTTCTGTTGTTGTTGAAGAAGAAGAAGAAGAAGAAGAAGAAGCAGAAGCAGCAGCAGCAGCAGAAGAAGAAGAAGGAGAAGAAGAAGAAGAAGGAGAAGGAGAAGGAGAAGGAAGAAAAATAATTAATAAAAAAAAATAAAGAGGAAATGGAAAAGAAAAAAAAATGGAAGAGGAAGAAGAGAGGGGAGGAGGAGCAGAAAGAAAAGGCGAACAAGAAGATGACGACAAAGAAAAAAAAAATTAACGCAGAAAATCATGTAAACATGTATAGGTATGTGGAAGATATATGCATGCGTGTATATCCTCAGATTATTGCAAAATTCAACTAGTTTTTCATGTATCTATTACTAAGATGGAGTGAAATTAATTACATATTCATATTTCCTATAATCATGAATACATAAATAACGTATTATTTTACTCTCTATACGTTGTCTTTCATCTCCGTACATATATACCTCCAACAACAACAAAAACAACCAACAACAACAGCAACAACAACAACCCACAACCCCATCAACAACAAAAACAAAAACGATCCGGAAAAACGAAAACCAAAAATGCACAACAGATGCTGATGAAAATGCCAATCGAATTATAAAGCTGATCATAGGAGGAGAAAAGTAGGCAATTGACCTAACCCTTTCGAGAGGGCTTCTTCTTCTTCTTCTTTTCTCTCTCATAACTACTTCCATAAAAGGTCATAAAAGGTCATAGTGGAAGAGATGAAGCCAGGGGGATGAGGGGTAAGTATAGCGGGGGAGGGGGAGGGGGAGGGGGTGGGGCATTTTTTGTCGGAGAAGTTTAACGGGAAATTACGATGATTATTTGAAATGCTATTATTATCATTATCATTATCATCCTTATTATCATCATTATCATAATTATTATAATTATCATGATCATCATTATTATCATTATCATTATCATTGTTATCATTATCATTATATTATCATTATTGTTATCAATATCACTACAAATATTATTATTATTATTATCATTATCATTATTATCACAATAATAATAATAATAATAATAATAATAATAACAATAATGATAATAATATTTATTATTATCATCATTATTATCATTGTTATCATCATCATCACTGTTACATCATATTCATTTTTTCTATCTTGGGTCGACATCACTGTACTAAAGGACACGACAAAACACTTGAAATAAATGTATTGTAATGTTATACAGTTTGGCAGACAGACAGATAGGTAGAAAAACAGACGGAAATCGGACACTAAGACAGATAGACCTGCCAGTTAATCAGAGAAACAGACAGACAGACAGATAGACATACAAGCTCTAACACACACACTACTCCCACACACCTCCCCCCTCCCCCTCCCTGCTTTCCCACAAAGATAAAGAAATACATTTACA